GGCTAGACCAGAGGATGTACACTGGTACAGATAAGAACGGGAAACAGGGAATCCAGGACAGATAAACCCTTCAGGACCAATAATGAGAGTAGCGATACCAGGAGGTCAAGGGTGTGGTAGAAAGGGGGAACCGATCATAAGGATCTACATATATATAGCTCCCTCCCTGGGGGATGGACAACAGAAAAGTGGGTGAAAGGAGATGTGGGACAGTGTAAGACATGACAAAATAATAAATTATCAAGGGTTCATAAGTGAGGGAGGGTGGGGGAAGGAGGGGAAAAATGAGGAGCTGATATCAAGGGCTCAAAGAAGAAAGAAAATGTTTTGAGAATGATGATGGCAACAAATGTACAAATGTGCGTGACACAATGGATGGATGTATGGATTGTGATAAGAGCTGTACGAGCCCCCAGTAAAATGATTTAAAAGAGAAAACAAAAACAAGACCCCAAGAGAATATAAACCATTAAAAAAAAAAGAATATTCTTTAGTAATGAGGACAGCAAGACTTCATCCCACACTCCTTGGGCATCTTATCATAAGGGACCAATTCCTGGATAAGGACATCATGTTTAGTGAAGTAGAGGGTCAGCAAAAAATGAAGACCCTCAATGCAACAGGTTGATGGAAAAAATGGGATCAAATGTAGAAAAGATTGTGAGAATAATACAAGACCAGGCAGCGTTTTTGTCAGTTGTCCACATGGTTTCTATGAGAACCATGTCAAAAGCATCTAGCAATAGCAACAACATAGATAAGATAGAGTTGGTGACACAGTTGTTAAAGTACTTGGCTACTAACTGAATGCTAACTTACTGATGTGGATGAAAGACCTGGTAGTCTGCTTCTATAAAAATTTATTGTCTTGAATCACTGAAAATTTGGGTGCTATAACAGTAGATAGTAGAAAGTAGATGATACCCGGCTATCACAAAGAATAGCGTCTGGAATCTTAAAGGCTTGCTTTCAAACAAGCAACCATCTAAGTGAAGTACCAGCTAAGTCCACCTGGAGAAATATACCAGCCCGTGTGATCTAAGGAATGTAAATAATATAATTCAAATATAAAGGAGGGAATTCTGTCAGATGTTAAATTATGAACACTTGGTTTTCAGAGGCTATGGATGATAGTAGAAATCCCAAATCCATTTGTAGGGTCCACACATGGATTAAGCCTCGAGTGCAGTGGTTCTCAACCTTCCTAATGCCGCGACCCTAAAATACAGTTCCTCATGCAGTGACCCCCCAACCATAAAATTATTTTTGTTGCTACTTCATAACTGTAATTTTGCTACTGTTATGAATTGGGAGACCCCTGTGAAAGGGTTACTCGACCCCCAAAGGGGTCATGACCCACAGGTTGAGAACCGCTGCTCTAGTGAATGCCCTCCAATCCTAGTTGATGGATGTGCATAGCTGTGTTATCAGGCAGAGAGCATTGTAAGATAGATTATGTTGATGTAGTTAGATCAAAGTGTAATATCATTTGATCTCCCATTTGATCCATTTTAAAGTTATTTCAGTTAAGAAAAAGTGAAGGGGAAATATATGTGGATTAAGTCCCTGGTGACTCCCCTCTCGCCATGGACCAGGGATGTGAATAGCCTTGTAATCGTGCTGAATGTATTGAAAAGTGAATTGTTGTAGATGCAGTTGTATTAAAATTTAGCACCCCATCATTTGATCTCCCATCTGATGCATTTAAATTTATTCTAGTTTTTAATATTTCTGCTTTCTTTTCAGTTGAGGGTTTTTATCTGTTTTACTTTGTTATTGTTGCTAGTTTTTCTTAGAAAATGTTTTTCTATATATGAAATTCAGGATAGGTAAGTCTATAGAGACAATAACTGGTCTAGGAACTCTGGTAGTGTAGTGGTTATGCACTGGGCTGTGATTCACATGGTTACCACTTTGAAACCAGCAGTGGCTCCATGGGAGAAAGACTGGGCTTACTACTCCAGTAAACAGTTATAGTCTTGGAAACCCACAGGGGGTCGCTATGAGCTAGTGTTGACATGATGGCACTGAGTTTGTGTTTTTGGTTTCAGGGATCTGGGAAGGGAGGTTGGGGAGTGGCGAGAATGAGTTAATAATGATGAATAAAAGAACAAAGAAAATGTTCTAAAAGTGACTGCGGTGATGACTGTAAAATTCGTCTCGATGTGATTGAACTATTGAATTATATGATATGTGAATTATATGCCAGTGAAATTGTTAAAAAAGAGAAAAAATTATTTTCTTGGAAACCTG